CCGCCACTCACCCCCCGCCCCCGCTTGTGTCTCGTCCCCCCGGCAGGATGCCGGACCAGATCTCCGTCTCCGAGTTCATCGCCGAGACCACCGAGGACTACAACTCGCCCACCACGTCCAGCTTCACCACGCGGCTGCACAACTGCAGGAACACCGTCACGCTGCTGGAGGAGGTAGGTGGCGGCCGGCGCCCCCTGCGCGCTCCCAGGACCCCGGCCGGCGGGGCCGCCTCGCAGGCTCGGGTCGCCGCCGCTGCATCCTCGCTCTGGGGTGATCGGGATGGCGGAGCCGGGAGGACCGGGGGCCAGGGGGCTGGAGGAGCCACACCCCCTCCGGCCTGCCCCGGTCCCCAGCTCCCTGGTGAATGGGGGGGCTGAGATGTGCGGCCTCAGCTCCATTGGCCGGGGCGCTGATCCCAGAGGCCTGCGGTGGGGAGAGGACAGAGAGCCTTGGACGCCCGGAGAGAAAAGAGGGAAGTCTTTTCTGTCTTGAGTCCTGCCTTGGAGCCAGGCAGTGTACTCGGTTTCCGACTCCTTGGGACCCTCTCTTAACCTGCGAAGTAGGTGATGTCGGGCCAGAGGGAGGCCAAGCGATGTGGCCAAGGTCACCAGCGAGGGACAGGGAGATGGTCACTGAATGCACCGCTCTGGTGCCGGCTCTGCCAGGCCGATTTAGCTGCATAGTCAAGGGCCGTGGAACTATCCAAAGGGATGACAGGGAACCGGGGCTGCGACTGCCTCTGTTCTAGGATTCTTCATTCCTGGCCCCCAGTACCTAAAGCCTTCTGCGGCAAGATAGCTGTGTCCACTGGCCCCTCCTCATCTGTTCCCATCGCCTGCACGGTGAAAGCTAAAAGCTGCTGCAACAGCCGTCCTGCGGGAAGGGTGCTCATAGACTGAGAGGCGGATGCTGCAGGGGAAGGCATACCGTCTAGAGGAGGTTGGACCAAGACTGTGCAAAGAGCAACTTTGCTTATCTAGACCCTCCAGGGAAGTGTGTTGTGGGTGACCAGGAAGGGGGGAGGGTGCAGAAGGCCAAGGGCAAATTTTAAATGAATTGCCAATAGGGTGGGGTGGGTAAGCGAAAACCCCACAAGCCCAAGAACTACAGAAGTCGCTGTACCTCACTCAATACATATAACACGTTTACCCTGGAACGCTGCACCATCTTTAAGTGCTTTAAAGCAGCACTCCCCTTGCAACAAGCCAAACCTATTTCAACAGAAAAGGAGCGCACTGGGGGAAGCTGGGAAACAAGATCAATTTCCCTGGGTGGATCTGTGTGTGGTTGGTTTATTTGAGGTTTGGAGAGCTTCTGATTTCAGCTCATCATGGCCAACTCTCCTTAATGTTGAGACTTTGGGGCTTCTGGTTTAATACTGTTCTTCAGACCAAGTTACAATGAAGCCCAGGGTCCAAAATGTTAGGAGGGGAGAGATTTTTGTTGTGGCTTTCATTTTGCCTGCTCTGCCTGGTGCTGTGAATGAATCTGAAAATTTACTCCACTTGGGGATGTTTCTATCGTTCTTTCTCAAGTTAGTGTTGGGTGATTGGATTGAAGTTTGAAAAGGTTGGAGAAATGCCACCTAAACTATATTTTCTTGAAAGGTGTGTGTTGGGGTGGGCGGGCAGGGTGGGGGTCGGTCTCTGTAAGTCCTTTGCAATATCCCAAGCCTTGGTGACTGGGATTGTAGCTGTTGCCAGGATTCCAGCCCCATGATGTGGCCTTCCCTTAGTGGTGATAAATTGGAACATGCTGAGACAGGAACATTTTGCATCCTTTTTCTGTACTAATTGTATATGCTTCTAAAGGTTGTGACATCGATTAGACTGAGTGGTCATTTTCCTTCTAGATAAGTTCCTCAGGCCCTGCTAATAGAGCTGTCAGTTACTTTAACTTTCCCTTTCTGTGCATTCAGATAGTAAGACTGTTCTTTTTGTGCAAGGTGTGATAATGGTAAGTTGGTTGTTGTGTCTGTTAGGGCGGTGTGAGCATATTTTGCAGAAACTCCAGAGGGTAGCAGTTGCTGTTGATCTTAGTTTGAAATAACTATATTTGAAAGAAATAACTATATTTGAAAGTGAATGCAACAGATAGGATTTGTGTGTGAAGAACAGTGTTTTGCAAGATTAGATGAAAAAGTAAATCATGACCCAGGTGTAGTCCCATTTGAAGTTGAGGAGGAATTGGAGCCAGGCTAGACGTGAGAAGTGTCACGTGTTAGAGGATATTGATAACACACGTGTTCTCAGAAATATCACAGTAAGTGGTTCGTTCAGAATGTCACAATGATCTTGTAATTCTTTTTCTGAACATGGGTATGGCACTCGGCTGTACATTTTAACTCTTGATTCCTATTGCTTGAGGTTGGACTCAGGAATGGCTGCCTTTCGCTTAAATGCGAACGGTTCCTGTTAGTTTCTTACTGACAGATAATCACCACGGCTGGATTGTCACCCCCGTCACCCTCTTCCTCAGCTTACACACAATAAGGCTTTAACGATTACCCTCAAAGTATAGGGAACAGTTTTCAGCAAATCACAAAATGATGTTAGCATAGATTTCACAAGTGAGATACTTGGACACTTTACAATTGCCGTTTGTGTTATCTTGTGGTTATTCTGAGGCATAAAGGTTTTGAGTACTTTTTGATGGTGTGGAAACCCAGGAGCAGGAATCAGCTTGGAGCTCTTTTTTTTTCCTTGTTTTAAAATCATTTTCTGGTTCTACTAATAAAATACTTTCCTGCTTATTTGCAAATGTTTTTGCTCTCTGGATCCCTAATTTTGTCTTGTGTATTTTTTTAAAAAAATTATTGATTAATGCATACAGAACTGGGGTGTAGGCCAGAGCTGCAGGGGTGGTGAGAGGATTCACCAGAGACAGAGTGGGGAGCATGACAGGCAGATCTACTGAAGTACACTGCTGAGGGGAGCAGCGGGGAGACAGCAGAGGTCTTTGAGCCACATGGCTCACCTCCCACCTCCCAGCTCCCAGGCCCTGGATCGAACTTGCGCGCTAAAGCAGGGTAGCTAGCTTCACAGTGTTTCTTTAACTCTTTGTGCCACCAGGGAGGGCCCTCGGATCCCTAATTTTGGACACACACATTTTAACTAAAAGACTGTGTTAGGTCTCTAAGCTTGGGAGTCCCAGATTTACCCGCATCCTTTCATTTGCTCTGTCACCTTGATCAGGAGTGTGTTGTGCTTGGTAAATGTTTTTTTTTTTTTTAAAGTCTGTGATGAGCACTCTAGGAAATGGGTCAGAAATAGGTGGTAAAAGAAGCCAGGAGTTTATTTCTGGACTTCATCTTTCAGGGCCTAGGGTCTCACATGACTGGAGTCGTGGGGAGCGGCTGCCACTGGGAGGCAAGGCGGGATTGGACGCCAAGGTTTCCTCCTGGGGAGCGAGTGTTTTCCAAGCAAAAAGCCAGTGCTTTACTTATTCAGCAGCCATAGCGCGAAGAGGTGCCATTTCACTCGTGGCCACTTGGAAGCTATGAGTAAGTGCCAGAAGACAGTTTCCCTAGGCGGGAGCCAAGCACCTTTCAGGACCACCGAGGATGAGTGGAGGCACTCTCCGCTTAAAGACTTAGGTTGGCCTGTGTCAGTGCTCGGTGAGAGGGAGGAGGCATGACAGACGAAGCTGGCCTGGTTGTTTAATGTCAGGCCAGGATTTTGTCTTTGGTGAGCGTGCAGGGGGCATGTTCTGTCCATTTGCAACTGTTGAGCAGTTGCTCTGGACCAGTTGCAGGCACACGGCATGCCTGACCTCTGTTGACACTCATGGAGCTTGTGAAGGAAGGACAGTTATTTTCTCCATTTTACTAAGATAAGAAGTGGAGACCCAGATTTGTCTCCCAGCACAAATAACTTGTAAGTAAATGAAGTTAGGAGGCACTTAAAGAGTTAAGATGTAAAATAAATGTTGTAAATATTTACAAAGACTTATTTCAACAGCTTTGCGAAAAACAAGGGACTTTACTCTCATTGCAGCTTCTAATTTTGGTTTCATGAAGCAGAGGTACCTAAGCTCCTAAATGGCTTCATTGTTCTTCAGGTTCACAGACTAGAGAATTCTTAATACTTAAATATGCTGTTCCCCCCCCCCCATCACGCTCCATCCCATTGAAAGATTTGGATGTGCTTTTGCAGATTAAAAGTGGGAATTTTTCTGACCATAATCTAGGAATAACATTTACTCTTCATATTTCGGGGAGCACAGCTATGGACAGCCTTGTTGAGGTGTTGGGGTTATTATCTCCATTGTTATGGTGAAACTAACATTTACGAAAGAGAAATAGGGTTGCCACTCATAAGGTAGAAAGAGGGCAGTTGGTAGGTTGGGAGTTGGCATGGGGCATTCATACCAGCAATTCAGTTAATCACTCAGATCATCCGTCAATATACAGATGGTCTGGTGCCAGCAGTGGGCTTAGAACTGGGAATACTAAGATGTCAATCTTGCCTTCAAGAAGTGGGTGGTCTAAAAGTTTTAAGGGCGCTGACACTCAAGCATGGATCATTAGAGACTAGCTTGTCTTAACAAATTCTGATGATGTGTTCAGGCTTGAAGGTAGAGGAACCGTGGAGCGAGAAGGTGTGCAATATAGATTCATTGGGGGGCTTTTTTCATGTAACACTAGTCACTTATTAGTGTTCCTACTGTGTGCAAGCCCTGTATACCCTACTTAATGCTGCAGTCACCCTGTTGTTATTACTGACCCCATCTTACGGCAGCTAAGTGTTTGTCCCAGGTCACCCAAAGCAGCAAGTGGTAGAGTGGGGATCCCGTTTCTGGGGGTCCCTGTGCAGACTTCACTGTGTGTGTCTTTCTCCTTTCCATGTTCCTTTTAATTTTTATCCACATTCTTTGGGCTGATGCCTGAAAGTCTTTAATCTTTCACTAATGCCTTTAGGGTTACATTTCAGTTCATGGAATCTCACACATAAGACTTCTCTGGCCAGGTCTTGAAGTCTCATTTTCATCAGATCCTAGTGTTGTAGAATACAGTTGCATTACTTCTCTTAAATTTTGAAAGCTAGTAAACTTAATAGTTTAGTGTATCTGCTTTGTAAAGCAGCTGCCAAACTGTAGTCTTAAAGGAAAACAAGTCGCAGGAAGGGTTTAGATAAAATCAGCGTTGGTCCATGCATTGCTGAAGGTAAAAAAA